GGGCCCCACAAGTGCCCCACACCCCAGCCCCCATGCCAGCGTCTGTTATCAGTTTCTGCTGTGTAACAAGCCACCCACAACACAACTTCACCAGACAGAACCATACAGATGTACCATTTCTCCCAAGTCTGTGATCAGTTGGGCAGTCCCTCTGGCCTGCCACATCAGGTGAGGCTGGCCTTGCTCCCATTCTCACCTGGGACAGTGGGAATTCTTGTCTCCCTCACAGATTCTCAAAGTCCCATTGGGCGCAGCAAGTCATATGACTCACCCAAGCATGTAGCTGCAGGAAGCAGTGACTCACTGGGCTACTTATTCATTACTGAATGAACTAGCCCCCAGCTTTTGTGTTGGCCTCTCAAGCTCACCTGGAGAACATGTTAGCCATCAAATGGCAGGCCAGCACCTGGACCCTGTCAGGGCACTCATCAGCCACAATCTTAACTAGAAAACACCTGCCCACTCCCAGGCAGAGCCCAGCACTCCTACCCCTCTACTCCCAGCCTCTGCCCCTCACACTGGTCTGGGAAGACACCAACCCTGGACCAATCCCCATGACCAAGTTCTCTCATGGCTGCAGAGTCCCACTAGAACTGAGGTGCCCCAGGTCATGCTCAAACAGCACCTGGATCCTTGGCTCAGCTTAAAGCAATGGCTGGTTTGATGCCAGGTGAATTCACGGCCAGTGTCATGCAAGGTTCAAATGTACCACCCCACTGCACTCTCCCACCCTGTCCAATCCCACCCCATTTTGGGCCAAGAGTTCTGAGAGCTCGGCAGAGATGCCCACTGGGAGCAAAGCCAAGAGAACCTGCTTCCTGATCACTGAGACCCTCTGGGGAAAAGGGTCCAGAGCACCTAGGCCCAGGATGTACAGGCAAGACTGCATTCTCAGGACGAGGGCCCAAGAGAAAGAAGAGTCCAGAGCAGCACAAGGAGAAAGGCAATTTTATTTTTGCAAGAAAAAGTACCAACAGAGGTTGAGAAAAAGAGCACCCAGCCCTGTCCCACGCAGGGGTCTGAGATGAGGCCAGGCCTGACCTAGGCCTGAACTTGGGAGAAGGCAATAAGGCTTGCTCCCTGTGGCACTGGGGGGGACAGGCAGGCCCAGGAGTGGGACTTTGTTCTGTTAGCACCAGGATTTGGTGACAGGACAGTGTGTGGCCCTCCTGTCACCACCTGAGCAGTCAGTAGAAGAGGGGCTGGTGGCAGAAGGCTCCCTGTAGTTGGTCTCACTTGAATGTGACTCTTGAATCCAGACCCCTCCACCACCCCCAACCCCTGTAAACATGAGAAACAGGTACGTGCCCTCCAGGCCCTTCAGGACAAGATGAGGGTACGCGATGTGTGGCTGGGCTTCAGGCGGCCCAGAAGCTGCCGGGCTTTTTCCTGCATGAAGAGCTGATCCCTGGTCCCCCCGCAGGCCACTGTCTTCCAGGCGCTGGTCATCTGGGAGAAGGCAAGAGGGTTACCATCCAGGACAGCATGCTCCCAGCAAACCTTTGGGGCCCTGCTGGTCAGGGGGTCTGGGACATTTCTATGACTCTCCCTCTAGAATCCGAAAGCCACCTTGTCCTGAGACTTTCCTGGGGGGCCCTGAGTTAGTGGCTCCACATCTGTGGGCTTCAATTGTGAAGCAGGAAGTTGGTGAGGATAGAGATGAAGAGTAAGCAAACCAAACAATGACTCAGCTATAAGTGAGACCCAGGTCAGAGGGGGGACTGTGGGCAGGAGAGTCTCTCCAGAGTGAGGTCGAAGAAGGCTTCCCCGAGGAAGTGATGCCTGGATTGAGATCACAGAAGTAAGGTATCAGACATACAGCAGGGCAGCACTCAGGCAGAGAGAAGAACTGTGGAAAGGCCCTGAGGTGAAGAAGGCAGCAGAACAGACCCAACGGAGGTGGATTAGCACTCACAGGGGCAGGGGCTGGAAAGTGGCCTCGGGGCTTCTGGGCTACCACCTTCTCAGGCTTGGCCTGTAGGAAGCCCTGGTTGAGCAAGCTGTTGTCTTCTTTGACACCTGGCAAGGAGAGGCTGGAGGAGCTGGATGGGACATTTGCTGGCTGCAATCAAAACCAAGTCAGTCAGCATTTAGCTACAAGTTGTTAGTGAGCCAGGAAGAAAAACCCAGAATCACAGCCTGGCGCCGCACCTCCTGGCTGCAGAGATTCTGGGAAGGATGTTAACTTCCTCTTTCAGATGTGGTTTAATGAATCCACCCAATCTTTTAAGGGCATTTGCAAAGTGCCCTCTCAGAGCCCTGCACCCAGCCAACAGAAATGCTGGCCCTTTCTTGTGGAGCTCCAGGGCCAACATGCCATCTAGCTTTCCTGGTACCAAAAATATTTTACCAACATCAAGGAGATGCAGCAAACCAAACCCCCCTCCCACCTATCCAGCCTCACTGCTCTGCTTGGCTCTTTGCTCCCAACAGTCCACCTGGTCTTGTATAGTGCCCTTTTACAGTGAAGACCCCAGAGAATAAGTGGTGGCATCAGGACTCAAGCCCAGGACCCCCCACCCCAGATGCAGGTGCTTTGGGAAATTATTTCACAGGCCTATCTCAGTATAGTGTGTGTGCCCAGCGTGCATAAGGCCCTGGGTTTGATTTCCAGCACCAAAAAAAAAAAAAGACATACGCCAGCCTGGTGGGGTCCCCAGACACAGTGAGACTTTTCTGCCAGGAAAAGGACCACAGGAGCAGCAGTCTAATTTCAAGACACGATCAGTTGATTCTTAACCTCTCTGGTCATGACCCACTACTATTCTGTCTCCCTACTGGGGATCAGGACAGGACAGGCTCACCCTATCCTCAGCTACAAAGGGTCACTAGCACAACATGGTTTCTGGGGACCCATATTCTGTGTAAGCACTAACCTAGCTGAGGTCAGCCAGACCTAGCACAGGAAGCCCATTGGCTTGGGAACCAGATGGCACCCACCCCAGGGCTGATGTGTCCCAACCACCTGGCCATGCCTTGAGACACATCATTGACCCTCTGCAGGGTTACATAATGCAAGGAAGGGTGCTGGGGACCCCAGACCCATGGTTTAGAAACCATGGTATTCTAGCAGTGCAACTCCCACCAAATAAAACCTGTGAGAGACAGAGCTGCCAGTGCAGCCAGGGAGGGCAGAGGGGGCAGGGGGTTGGAGAGAAACAGACTCACCCTTCCCTGCCTGCCCCCTTCCTGCAAGGCCCCGCCCTTCTAAGTCCAGTCTGAGGATCCACAGACCACTGCAACTGACACTGACCAAACAGCTGCAGAGGCAGGAGGCTCCCGGGGAAACTACCCTACCCTCCCCAGGGCAGAAGAGCCTCTGTGGCCCTGAGACAGTATGGCCACAGCTGACCCCTTACCAAGGACAGAGCCTTGGGCAGTGTAGACATCATCAGCTTCACATCCTCATCCACGATGTCAAGAGCCAGGGACTTTCGGACTTTCTTGATGGGACTCCTCCGCAGCTGTGGTTGGGGAGAAAGGAGGTGGTTAGGGATTCCTACAGTCTGCACCTTGATGGCCCTTGTCAGAGATTGTCATGGAACCAGGCCCTGCCACACTGGAGTCGAGTGAGGTCTAGTTGGTGGGGACTTGTTAAGAACATGGGGGTGGGACCCCTCAGCCCTGGTACAGATTCCACACCCACGTGGACCCCGTCCTGCAGGACACTGTGATAGTGAATAGGACACAACATGAACGTATGCCTACTAAGAAGCCTGCTCTTCAACCCTGAGAGGCCACACATAGCCTCCCCACCCCAGCTTCTATCACACCAAGCATGCCTCTAAACAGGACTGGCAGAGACAGGCGGTGCAGCAGGAGGAGGCTGGCTAAGCTTGGCATCTGTGCCAGCCTAAGAACAGTCCTTGCCCCTCACCCAGGTGTGTCTCCCTGCTCTGCCTCCCTGAAACAATGCCCCATCCTGCTCAATGGCCCCTCTCCCTTGCCTGGCTAGCTCTTCCCATCTAAAGAAGGCCCTAGGAATCTGAGTCCCCTTCTACTGCCCTTCATCCCACAGGGACTCAGATGGTCATGGGATATCCGCTGAGCATGTGACTCTACCCGCTGAACTCTATGAAGGTGTGACTAGGTCCTGTCACTACTGCAGCCACTACAGCCAGCCCAGGGCCCATGGCAGAAGAGTCCTATCACAACACAGGACAAACAAGTCTACCACTCACAGTGGGAAGGGGAGAGTCCAGGTAAAATTCTAGGGCCTCACTTGTCAATCAATAAGTCACCCCACTTTGACCAAGTGTCCCCAGGGCTAAGTTCCTCCCCATGGCTCTAGCTCCCCATGCCTAGACTGGGAGCAGGGACCAGGTACCCCCACCACTCACTCCGGGCTTCCTCTTCTGTTTCTCAGGCCTCGTGTCATCCTCGATAATGAGCTCAATGCCAGCCTCGGAACGCAACACCTCCTTCAAGTCTTCCTCCAGGTGCGGGGTCTGGGGCTGTGGGCAGGGGCAGAGGTGGTCTGTGTGAGGTCTTGCACGCAGGCTGTCTGGGTATGGGACACAGCCTGCTCACAGGACAGTGGGGTCAGTCACAGCTGGGCCAGACGGGAAGCAAGCCTGTGCCAGGACGCTAATCTCGCACATCATTCTCAACCATTAACTGTCCTGCCTTGGACAAGTGGACAGAGACCTCAGTCCCCAAGGATGCCATGGCTGAGAGCACCCCCATACTCCACAGAAACTCCCACAGTCCTATGTAATAACTGGTCTCCCCAAGGCAGAAACTCAGACCTGAGGTCAAGCACCTGCCCAAGGCCATCTGCCTCTGCTACACACTAACAGGGACATGTGGATCCATCTCCCTTGCTCAGGCCTGGGGTTTCAGCAATCTCTCCAGCCTCCTGGAAGTGGAGAGTGTAGGGCGCAGTGATACATGCCTGACCCCAGCAGGAGGATCACAAGTTTGAGGTCAGCCTGGGCAACTTAATAAAACCCTGTCTCAAAATAAAAAGGCCCAGTACATCTGTACTGCAGCGGGAGAGGGCAGTGCTAGCTTGTACATGCCACATGGTCCCTAGAAACTCCACCTAATTCAGTGGAGTCCTCCATTGCAGGATGGGGACCCCAGCCCCACAGCCTTCACAGGAGGCTGCACACAGTGAGGCCAGAGGTGCTGCAGACTTTGTTCACAGACAAAGGCTTCTCTGCAGCCACCCCTCTCTACTCCCCCCAGCTCCCGACTACCCTCTAGTTTCAGAATGCCCCTGAAGGATGCCGGCTATTTCTTTTTTTCCCAGGGAAAGCCATCGACTTGGAGGAGGATGGGGAAATACCCAGCAGGGGCTTCCTCACCTGCCATCGCAGCCCTGGTGCCTTTCCTGTGTTCTGCAGGCAACAGGCTCCAGGGTGGGGGCAACTTGCCCCTGCTCAGAAGCAGGCACGGGACCTGAAACATCCTTCAGCTCTCCAATACCCACCCTTCTCTTCCCAGCCTGCACTGTACACTGAAAGCAATGCAGCCATTCATGTGTCACATGTGTACCACCCTCCTCCACGATCTACACACTGTCACAAATCCCAGCACCTGTCCAAAACACTGGAGGTGCTCAGGAAATGTCATCAAGGTGATTAGAGATAGCCCTGCTGTCCTCATCGATAAAAACAGGACATCCACATCTTAGGAGAGAAAAATCCGGAGATCTCAGAGTGGAAGGGCCCTGTGACCCACACGTTGGATGAGCCCACCACTCAAAGACCAGAACAGTGACCACCTACATACCAGGGGCTTCAGTGGTCCATACTTTTCCAGGGCGTTCTTGAACGGGGTTGGCGTGTGGGGAGTGTTGTCCATGGAGTACTTCTGATCTGGGGTTACAAACCTGCCATGGACCAGAGAGAGGCAGGCTCAGTGAGGGGGCAGACTTCCACCTTCCCTTGGGCCCAGTGGCTGGAGATCCCGCCCAGCTCCCTGCCCCTCGGCTCCAGGTCAGGGCCCACAGGAAGGGCCATGTTCAGAAACAGGAAAGATAGGAATGAATCTTAAGGGGGCCAGGAGACCCAGACAGTGACAAAGAATCATGCTCAGTCATAGTCCAGACTTGGAACTTTCCAGAAACAAGTCTGTGGCCATGCTTCAGGCATGGTGATGTGGGGTGGGAAAACCAGAATCTATGAATCCACATCCTTGTGCAGCCTCGGGACAACATTGTAAGGCCAGAGCCTCACCCCAAAATCATCATGGTGGGGACAGAAATATGGAGGGAACACATGAGTAGTGAGAAACCTAGAAACAGCCTGGCCCAGAAGCAGAACCACTGTGACCCTTCCCTCAGACACAGAATTCCAAGAATGCTCTCTGCCTATGACAGAGAAGCCTGCTGGGGAAGGGGAAGAGGACAGAAGTGGCACTTCACACCCCAGAGTGCCAGGAACAGAGAGAGGCCAGGGTGGGCAACAGGAACTTCAACTCTGGTAGCAGGTACCAGACTCCCAGAACATGACACTCCTATGCAAAGCCCACTTGGCCTGGGTCACCTAGAGATACTGCCCACTGACCATGACAGTAGGAAGAAGATACATTTCATCAGAATTCAGGGGCAGAGGCCAACTCCTGGATGTGGCCACCTGTGCCTCTTTGGCCCCTTCCCTTACCCTGAACCACTCCACTGGGAGATGACAGACCCAATGCAGGTCACTCTTTCTTCCTTTCTCAGGACTCAAAGCTCAAACAGGGATCCACAATCTCTTCCCTTCCTCTATCCTCCCCCACACTGAGCTCCCCTCTGTAAAAAAGAGTGAAGACAGACATCCATGCCTGGACAAATTTCATACCCCACAGTGCAAACCACACTCCATCTACCTGGGAACTCCAGAGTCTCTTTAACCCACCGCATCAGCAAGACTAAGTGCACGTGCGTGTCAGAAGACTCAGGAGGGTGGAAGTGAAGAGGCATGTGGAAGGCAGCCAGGAAGTGGCACATGTAGTGCTATAAACCAGGGGGCTCAATGGGTGGGAGACCACAGAAAACCACAACAGCAAATCAGAAGACAATTTATGACGTTCTCACAGAGGTCAACACAGGGGCTTAAAACAATGAACAGGAACATAAAGAAGAAAAGGAAGGTGAAAAGGGGCTGGGGGTGTGGCTCAGCAGAAGAGTACTTGCCTCGCATACGGAGCCCAGGATTCCTCCTCTGAAACAGGGCAGTAGAGGCAGGGGTAAAGG